CGTTATTACCGGTGAAGTGACAACTTATCACTCACGGTGAAGTGATTCCCATTTGATTTATACGGCAATCATTTACCGTGAGTGACAAGTGACCGTGAACTGATACTCAGTATGTGAAGCACATACTGAAGAAAAAGGATGGAACTGAAGGATTTCAAGCGGAAATAGAATTTAACAGCTTTTTTTTATTTTTTTTTATTTTTAACAAATTGTCTTTATTATCTGAGTATTACAAAAATATAAAAATTACAACTGTTTCATGTAGCATCTATATACACAAATAGTAATAATTATGACTGAAAATCTTAACATTGGTTATTTAGTTAACAGATGTTAAGGTATGTTTTAAAGTTTATATTGAATGCTTTTCTGTTATTCCATCTATAATCCCTTATTATTTTTTGAAAAGAATATAAACTTGAATTTTTGTAATGTATAACGTAATACGCCATTGCCTCAACTACTATAAATAATACTGCTTTCTTTTTATGACTTTTCTTCGATATACCGTAATACAAAATTTCTTCTGGTGATTGCAGTTTGATTTTTAAATTTTTTGCTATGACATTTTGTATCCATTTCCAGACTAACCCGGAATGGTTGCATTCTTTTATTCGATGAATGTTTGTATCAGGCTTTTTGCAAATTTCGCAGAGATTATTATTAACTTTGTCAGTATAGTTATACAATTTAACTTTGTTTGGAATAACATCATTGAAAACAAGATAAAGATTGATCTAGCATTTGAACTGAGGAAACTTTGATTAATGTTTTCCCATATGCAGTCCCACCACAAATGTGGATACTTTTCCTGAATTATTGGTTGTGTTTTCATTTCGCTTATGAAATAGTTGTATAAACTCCTATTATTTTCTATACAATTATTGTTTGAAAGTTTTTTTGCTTCTTCAATCCATTTTTTACTGTTTAAGGATAATATGTTTTGATTAGCTTGTTCCAACAGAAAATGATTGATTCTTTTACCTGAGTTAAACAACAAACTCCTGATATATAGCGCCTTACATTGGCTTTCTGGGTCAATCAATTTCAATCCACCCTTGCTATAATCAAGATATAGCTGATTCCTATTAACTTTAAAAAAAATGGGAATTCCAGAGAAAATAGCCTGATTTTTTCTTTATTTCAGCTAAATTATAATTATTAGGTGGCAGGACCTGAGAAACATACCAAAGCTTTGATAATAGAAACGTATTTAGAATTGTATTCCTTTCTAATAAATTGAGTTTTCTAGCACTATGTATCTGGCAAGCAAAAGTAATTGAATTCAATAATTTATCAAAATTGCATTTTATCATATCTTTCCATTTGTCTTTAACTATTATTCCTAATATTTTCATTTGTTGTTTCTCTTGGATCATTTGGGGGCCCAGCTTGCAGTTGTTGAATCTAATATAACCCGATTTCTCAAAGTTTATACATATAGCAGCCTGTAGTGCAAACTCATTTATGACAGACATTACAAGATCAAATTCCTTGTCACTCCTCACGATCAACGTTAAATCGTCTGCGTATGCCATTATTTTTATCAAGTTACCATCAATCATTAAGCCTAAAGTACTATCATGAAGTTGACGGATGAGAGGTTCCACATAGAGCGAAAACAAAAGCATCGAGAGTGGGCAACCCTGCCGCACGGAACGATCGATTTTTATGGAAGCAGTGAGAAACCCATTCACCATAACTTGTGATGACGCATCGGCATACAGTCTCCGGATGAATGTTATAAACTGCGTTGGAATTTTGAGTTTCTCCAGTGTTTCCCAAAGCCGACCATGGTCCACCGAATCGAAAGCTTTCTGAAGATCTACACTGAGTAGCGCGATCTGTTCCCGTTTACTCTGCTGCGTCCTTGCTATGACCGTTCTTATCTTATCCAGGTTTTGCACACAAGACTTCCCCTCCAGCCCTGCAGTTTGACCTTCACCTACTAGTGAATTCATGCAAGCCTTGAGTCTGCTTGCACAAATTTTGGTGAGAATCTTGTAGTCTGTATTCAGCAAACTGACCGGTCTATAGTTCTGCAAGTCATTTCGATCCTTCGACTTCGGAATTAAAATGATTATTCCCTTCGCAAACTTTTCTTGCATAGAAATGGAGCCATCCAAAAATCCATTGAAGAGACGCAACAGATCTTGTTTGAGGGAATGAAAGTGTTTCTCGTAAAATTTGTAAGTTAGACCGTCAGGCCCAGGTGATTTCTTTTTTGTTGCATTTTGAATAGTTACACGAAGCTCCTCTTCTTCTATTGGTGACACAAGGTTGATTCCAAGATCTCGAGGTAACGATTTGCGAACGTGCTGAAGCGCAGCATAATCTGCTTGCTGGTTTTGCGGCTTCCGGAACTGTTCCTCAAAGTGATTATGTTCTAATTGCTTTGTAGTTAGACCATCTGGTGAGTGCAGACTCATCACTGGTGTGTTGTGACCGCGTTTTACTAATTTCGAAACTTGATATATGCTCAATTTTTCGCTTTCAAGCATTGTTGACGGTTGCACCTTTCCGCGGAAACTGGAAAGACGTTGCTCTTCGACATCGACGATAGCAGACTTGACCGCGTTCATCCTATCCAGCACGTTTAAACCTTTTGCTTGCTGTTCCATCAATTTGTTTCGCTTATTGTAGTGTTTTGCCTTCTTCCTTGCGTTAGTTTGATTGAACTCATAAGACTTGTTCTTGAAGTAATGTTTTACCTTGCATTTGAAATCGTACGACCACCACTCCGAAAAGTTCATCTCGTGTTTGCGAAGTTGCCTTAGCTCTGCCAAGACTCGAATGAAACCTTCAGATGTGCCTTCATCCTTGAGTAGAAAATCGTTTATCTTCCAATGGCTCCTTCCAAGGATGGGAGTGGCATCCTGTGGGTTGATTTCAAACGTAAGCACTACCGCGTGATGATCAGAGAAGGGCACTGGAAGAGTCTCGTACTTTTTAGCTCGATGAACAAAATCTTTGTCACAGTAAAATCTGTCTAATCGGGAGCCAGAATTATGCCTCAAGAAGGTGTATTGGCGGCCTGCGGATCCCAAATCCTCTAGCTTAAACAGGTTTACTAGAGTGCGCAGCCCTTTGCAGCAGCTCTTGTTTTTACTTTTGCTGTCTAACGTATCCAGGATGCAGTTAAAGTCCCCTCCCAAGATCATCAAATTTCCTTTGCTTAAGTGCGGGGATATCAGATTTTGAAAAAGATCATCCCTTTCGACATTGTATTGCGTCCCAGAGTGACCATAAATATTCACTAAGTTCACTCCGTCGACAACAACGGAGATGATACGTCCAGATGGGTCCATCATGATCTGCTCGAAAGGAATAGTTTTCCTTATAAGTATTGCCGTACCAACGTTCTGCTCACTACGGTTGACAATTGCGTGATGTGAAGGCAGAAAGCTAAAATCATTGAACGACACTTCTTGCAGGAAAACAGCATCCAAATCGTGGCGTATGATGAATTCCTTGAGCAAATGTTTTTTAGAGTCTATCGCTATAGCATTAATATTCACAGTACAGATTTTCCTTACGTAATTCATCTCTTTGTTTACAAAGTATCGAGTATTCAGTAACGGGTGTTACGTATTTCGATAAAGAAGGTCCGTTTGACGTTGCTTGCCAATGTCGTCATATGTCAAAGTCAGCTGATCTCGATTGTCACTAACACTTCCGAAGATCAGCCTTGCTTACCTTCACACCACTTCGAGAGCGTGATCGATTCGTCATACTTCGATGTGATTTGGAACTTTTAGATCTAGCTTCGCTACTGGACCCTGCAGCTATCACTTCCAGCGGGTTCTGCTCCGTTGGCAAACCACCACCGCGCTTCTGCTTACGAGATTTCCTGCTCTTGCTATCAACCGTGACAAAATCCTGGCCGTTTTCCTCCGATTCCGATTTGCCGCTTGAAACAAGGGGTCGCTTGTTCGACCGCTCTTGTCCGTCGGTCATCTCCTCATCGCTCGATTCCTGTTCCGGTACTTTTTCAGCTTCAGCGGGCTTGTCCACGACACTTGCTTCTTGTTCCTCCAACACCTCAACGATGGAAACCTCTGAATCCTGAATCTGCTTCGGGCTGGACTCCCCGGCTGAGGTCCCGTTTGTCAACGAAACTAACCTGACCATTGACAGCTCCAAATTGCTACTGTTTTTAGACGATGATGCCGCTCCCTGAACGGCTCCAGCATAGGTGTCATTGCAAGGTACGTCCACCTCTTCCTTTTGGCTCGCTTTAGCTGCCGTCTTCTTCATTTTTTCCGCTTCCTGCTTTGCTTCCATATCCTTTCTTGATTCTTGCTGTGCGTTGTTCTGTGGACATTTCACTTTCAGATGCCCTTCCTGCTTACACAAAAAACACTTCTGTCTCAGTCCCTCGTAGTAGATTCTCCCTCGGCGGTTGGGGAAATGGATGGTTGATGGGATGTCCTTTTTGATGTCCATATACACCCCACGGACACCGGTAAAGAGATCTAGCTCCAATTCCGCCGGGAACTTCTCGCGGATCATGCGTTTCACGGTTCCATACTTTCCGAGTACCAACGATACGTCAATATCCGATATCTCCGGGGTGAGATCGAAGATCCTCACGTAGCGGATACACCCTCCAGCGATCGTCATACGAACTTCCACGGATTGACCATTGGAGTAGTGGAACGTATGAACCTCCGGGTTGTGCAGGAGAGCCTCCTTCATTGCTCTTTCAGATCTGAATTTGATGCAAACAACCCTTTCATCGGAAAGTTTGTAGCCTGTTTCCATGTCTGCTTTGTCCGCATCAAACCCTTTGACAAATCGACCAATTTCTACAACGGTTGGTTCAGGGGCTCCATCCGGGAACTGGAAATTCAGTGTGTTCTTGACGATTCCACTGGACATCTTTTTGTTTTCCTTTTCCTTACAAAGGTAGCCGGTTAGGGCTGACAAGGAAACACACACGAACGGTAGCTAATTATATGACTTTCAGCGCGGCGATTGTACAAAAGCGTCTTCTCGCAATGAGAAATGATCGTCAACTGCAGCTTAACAAGTGGGAACAGGGCTCGTGCTGGACGGACGTTATACGATGGATACGAAAGTTCAAGCAATGGCGTATGGTAAGAAACAATGCTCTTACAATAAGCATATTACACACTATTGTATAGCTGTTCCATTGAACTATGAAAAATAAAACGCATTTTTAAACACCAACAAGATTTTCGTGTTCGGATTTTTTCATGTTCAACCTCTAGTAGTAAGGCTCATCATAATAGTTTATTCATCGTTTCGGTTGGACAGTAGTAGACAACTTTGATGATCTTCTGCTTCAGCAAATCCGTAATGAATTCTAATAAAAGTCTAACTTCCACATGCTTCGATCGCTTCTGATACGCTTACTTCTTCGTACAATGTTATTGCGTCTAATTCATGGAAAGCCAATATCATCTTGTGAATCCACAAATGTCCCTGATTTGCTGGTTCTAAAAACCATAACAACAAATCAGAAAAAAAAGGTCCAGCGGCCACCCTTGAAAATTATTTCAATTTGAAATTATCGATGGCAAGCATCAAATCAATGTTCCTCCAGTTTCTTCTTATTGACATTTTCAAATCAGTTGGTGTGCTAGCAAACTTTAAATTAAATTAATTTTCCTGGCCTCCTTCCAATGCCAAGAGTGGCTATCACCGTTCCTATTTAATTGTCGCTTAAAAGAGTGATGAATTTTAAATTGAATTTGTTCTGAACAGTTTTCGATTTCAAATGAAATCGAATCTCTACACTTTAAAAGTCCTCCACCGGAAATGTTCCCTTTGAAAAGAGTCCAGCATGATAGCAGCCATTCCGTTCCAGTTTCATGTTGTATCCGCTGTAATCGATGGCACTTCACTGGAGCTTGAATGTATCCCATTCCGAATACATAACTACTACTGTACACAGAGAATACGATGATGCACCAATGGCATTCAAAGCGCAAACAGAACAACCCATCAAGTTGTTGAGTGTTCTGGTCCTGAGAGCCTGAGAGGGGGGAAAAATGAACCATACAACTTTGATTGACAGCTTTGCGCAACAGGAAGTTGAAAGCCGGAGCCAAAATAGCTGTTATTTTATTGGTTACGCCGTCGCTGCTCTGATTCGTCCCTGTGAGTTAGAGAAATATAGCTCGAGTTCGTTGCACTCGTGCTCCACCGTGTAGAATAGACAGCCACAATCGACGCCTGGTCACATGTTGGCCGCTGGATTTGCAATAGAACATCGTTACCGAGGTTTCAATTCCAGATGGTGGCTTTTGCAAAATGCCTATCATGGGGACATGCATGTATGTATGAACGCATCAACAGGGCCGAAGCCAATGCACTTGGATGTGCTGAGTTCCTTGCCCTGTTCTATCATTCCAATTACACACCTGACAAATGCATGGTTAGTTTTCGTTCGCAATCAGTATCATCACCGTCACGCTTTCGTGTAGCACTTCATCCATCAAAGCTTGATGTCATTGTACCAAACGCGAACCCGGGCCAAGTCGGTCGGTGCTCCGTTCGCAGTGAAGTTCGCCACCGTGCCGCTCCACATCGGATCATCGGTGTGAAATACCTTCGAAAGCTGAGCGTCGAAAATCGGTCTTCGGTTTATTAACCGACGATGCCATAAGCGTCTCATTAGAAGGGGTTGTAGCTTTTTACCCTTCTTACAAAGAAGGATATACATACCGCTTGGAAAACCGACTCAACGGGATCGGGAATGTACGTGTGTGAATTTGTTATTTAAGATGTGTTTTTTTTTGCTATCACTGAACCGAATTGGACGCAACAATCACCAAATGAAAGGCCTAGATGACCATGGAACCTTTCATCGATTTTTAATATTTTTGAAATCGGTCAACGGATTCCGGAGATACAAAGTCGTGTTTCTGGGCAACCAACGAACCGAATTGCATTCAACAACCATAAAACGCTTATTAATAGTTTAAGAATCGTTCATCTGATTTCGAATATATGGCCGGAACATGTTCCGGTTTGTATGGACAATTTGTCTAAATCCAACGTAGCACGAATACCGCTCATAATGGCATGAGTTCTTCAGAGCTTGTGTCAGATTTTTTTTATAGTTGTCAGAAAATCCCTAGGAATTGTTATTTTAATGACTTATTTCCAAAACTGCTGGTTCTAGCATTTTTCTCACAGATGGCAACCGCCTCCGCGGTATTGTTGTTTGTTAATTTATTTGATAAGGCTCTATCGAATTAACTTTGCAGAGCCGAGGATTCTTGGACATTATACAATACATCTCAAAACTATAGTCAAAAGGTACAACACAATAAATACTTAATCTTCCGCTATCCAATAAGCCTCCTCCATAATAACGGGAGCCGCTTTCAGTGGTTTCATTGTATGGCAGTTTCGCCAACGGGGGGCAGAGCGCTTCCATTGCAGCAATGGAAGCACACACTCATCACGAAACAGTTGCTTTCCAGATTCGATGACGCATCGACCGAAAGAACTGCTGATGAAGAACAATGAGGAGGACATGCTTGGCATACACAGTTTTACACACCAACTGCTCATTTGCTAATAACTTCGCACACAGTTGACGTAACATAGTTCTTTTTGAAGCAGTAGATAGAATAGAGTTTAAGCTTATTATAGATATGTAAAAATAAGTAGATTTTAATTCTAGTAATAAACTGTATTTGTTTTTGCGTTGTAAAAATGAAGTGAGAAATGCTCGCTGCGCATCTCGTACTTTAAGTGTAAAAAAATTATTGGCGTTGTTTCAAATGTTAAGATTTCCCTACTCTTTGCATATCTATAGTAAACTATGATCCTAATCTATCAATTACTTTAGAAAAAAATCAAATTTCAACACCTTAGTGAAAAGTTATTAACAAATGAGCAGTTGGTGTGTACAACTGTGTATGCCAAGCATGGAGGAGGACCACACAATGATTGCTGCCGAGTAAACACATCGAGAGTGGCCTGCTTCTGTCGACAGCCAAGTGAACACTGACCTCTGTGGTTGTCAAGCAGTTTTTCAACAGTGGACCAGGAACGAAATCAAGCAGTAAACAAACAATAACGCTCTGGGATTGCATCCCATTGAGTTGACATCTTTAGTGAAGTTTTTTTTTGGATTAATTAGGACGAAGGAATCAAAAATATCTCAAAACGACAAAATGACAAAGCGATCAACGAGGTGAACGTTAACGCTTTGTCAGAAATGGAAAGCAATAATGATATAATCTTCTTCCTTTTTATTCATGACAAACGACAGATCGCTCGGTAGAAGAAAACGACAAAATTATTGGCAAGCTGCTTCACGAAGTGAATCTGAAGATGATACACGTGTGTCAATGGGATTTTTTTTTTTGTTATGTCTTTTCTCGATTCCGATTAAGCTGTGTCCTCAACCATGTATATTGCAACAAAGCAGGTAAGCAATATATCATTATCCTTCTACCACTTCGATCGAGCTATGTTACAGAGCGAGTTTGGCATGGTTGTCGTAGCAACGTTTTGTCTGTATCGTTGGTTGTTTTATGTTGCCGGAGGCGGCGATATCGATTCCCGGTCCGGTCAAGGGAATCTTTTGGTTTGGAAATGTTTTCGACTTCCCTGGGCATAGAGTATCATTGTGCTTGCCACGCAATATACAAATCGCTGCATTGGTATTGACATCGTTTTTTTTTTTTTTTTTTTTTTTTTTCTTTATTTAAGAGATTTTTAGCCTTAGGCTAGTTCATCTCTAGGTATTGACATCGAAAGCTCTCAATTAATAACTGCGGAAGTGCTTTTAGAACACTAAGTTGAGAGCAAGCAATAAGCTAATATGCGATAAGCAATAAGCTTGATATGCGAAAAAGATGTGTTTGGATTCGCTGATCAAGAGTTCGCTTTGAAAATCGTTCGAGGACGGTTGTGTTTTTGCTCCGTTGCCGCCTTTTATTTTCTTTTATTTTTTTGAGTTCGGGCTGTCTTTGTGCTGCCGTGGAGTTTTTCGGTGCTCGAGGGAGTCAAGTTTCTAACGCCTTTGGATACGGTTGTGTGTTAAGTTCGTTCTCTGTTTTGTGCGTGCATTCGCTTTCATAGTTTTCGGCTGCATTTGCCGGATCAGCGCTGGCACTCTGCCTCCCGGACGGTTATACATGTGTGAGTGTTGGTTTCTCGCTTTCCGAGAAGTTTTAGAATCGAGAAAGAAAACATGATTCATCATGTTTGCAAAATTGGCGTGGTTTGATTGTTTCTCCCGGACCAGAAATTTGTGGCATCGCGAGTGAAAATTTTAATTTCTGTTTATTTACGCGGTGATGAGAAGTGCGCTGATCTATTGTCAGGGTTTTGAGATGTGCATTGCTTTTGTGCACGGAGTGACTTGAAAAAGAAAAGTGAAGAAAAGTGATATTTGGTTGTTGTGTGGTTGGAGTGGAGGGAAAAAAAATATGCGTGGAAGCATCGGGATTGCGCTCCCGGGTTAAGTGATTTGGTAAGAACGTTCCAGTTGAAGATTGTTCACAAGTGTATTTGTGGTGATGCAAATTATGGTTTAGATGACGCATGGCTTCAAACATTTTGTGTATCCAAATAAAACATTACATACTAAATACGCACAGGGCATCGTCTGCTGACCATTGCCGCGGGTATATCGTGGGAGTCCCAGGTACCCGGTTCAAGCTTTAGTTGGCGGCGGTGGCTCTTCTTGACCTTCTACCCCCTGAGTAGTTAGTGTGAATAAGGGCGTCTATGTGATGTTTTGCTGTACCTGTTGTAAACATTTAGTGCATCCTGTTCCCTTAACTTGTTGAGGACACCCTGTCTTGCCTCAAAAGTTACCCTTTTTGAAGTACTAGTCTTCACAACATAAAGGGCACCATTACGGAGCATGAGATTTGATCAAATTATTCGCAGTTCTACTTGTCCAACGCCCCCGGCTGGTTGAGGGATAGAGGATGACACACACACACACACACGTGGAGTTTTTCGGTGCTCGCATTTGATTAGTTTTGTGTCCCGGGCGCGATAATTTGATTTGGAAAGGTTTGTGCTAATGTTTTCCTCCCTGTTGCTTAGGTTCTTGGTGTGCTCTCGCTTCCCTTTGTTGCCGGTGTGACTCGACCGCACTATTTTGTGATGTGCATTGCTTTTGTGCACAGAGTGATTTGAAAAAGAAAAATGATATCTAGTTATTGTGTGGTTGGAATCGCTGGAGGAGGAATTGTTTAAAACTGACTGGAGGAAAACATGCGTGTAAGCATCAGGAATGCGCTGCTGGATATATTAATTTGGTGAGTACGTTCTGGTTGAAGATTGTTTTAAACATTTCTCGATTGCATTTTCGAGGGGACGTGTCTGCCTTTGTGGGCAGTGCTGGTCGGTTTGATGTGGCTGGTGGCTATCAGGTAGGCGAAAATTTCCCTTATCTTATGATGTTGTTGGAATGCGTGGGCGAGATGTCGGTTGCGCCGGATTGGGTTCGAATGCATTGTTTACGGGAGCAGATGCGTCCCTTTGAGATTTATTATCATCATTTTGCATTTCCCGATGGGATGACCTAGATTGCGTGAGGCATGTTACTGGGTTTTTACGGTTAGTTGCCAACGAATAATGCATTTTGTATTTCTTTTTTTTTTTATGTTGAAGCATGTTTTGCAAAGAAAATAAATGTCGCGATCGAATATGCAAGCTTGGCACTTGACCGATTAGTTTTTGATGTATTGTTAGGTGTGTCCTTAGCACGGTCATGAGGGCCGTGGTTGAAGACTGACGGTAGTCACGGCGGGTAGTGTTTCATTGTGTGGTTTAGCGGTTTTGATGCAGTAATATGAAGGAGAAAACAGTCGTTTTTAAATGCAATAGAGTTCGGTCAAAATAGCTTAAAAGATGTGAAATATATTTACGCTGGTAATGGATTGATGGAGTCGGTTCCCGTCTTACGTAAGGACCAAATAGAAACAACGTAAAAAGGTTTAAAAGATCATCGATCGTTGTATAAAGAGCACCGCCGTCGAGTTTGAGTTTGAATAAATCTCAGGTTCTAACATATTAAGGAGTAGTAACTTATAGTAACATCGCTTGATCATCGTGTATTTTGTGAAACTTAACATCGTCACCGTCGGGCCCGGTTTTGAATGGTTGCAATAGAAACGCGATCGTAGCTTGTATAATGTAATATGAGGGGCTTAAAGTGAAAATGTTTTCCTACTGAGTAGAACATCATGAGTTTAATCGCAAGCCTGTCCACATTCAAGATTCGTTAATCGCTTCTTTTTTTTTGTTAATATGAATATATTGGAATAACAACAAATCTGCATTATCACAACCAAACCAATGAATTGACGAATAAACACACTATCAATCAAATTTTCTAACACTGAACACGGTTAACTTTGGGGACGGGAAAGTTTAGTAACTACTTTTATTCAGTAAATTTGATAACCTTGGTTTTATTACACATGTGCATACATGGTTTTGAGCTTGGCCGGCCCACCTCTGTTTTCCTCTAGCTTCCTATCTTGTACGATCGATACTACTATTCGCCTATTGCGCCTGTATGAAGTGTATCCGTGCTAACGGTCTTGCACGCAAGTGATGTTCGCTACTTACAGTTTGCTTCGAAGCTTACTATGAGATGGATAATAACTAGGTAGGTCATGACATTTCATGCACATTTCCTGACAGTTGGTGAAAGGTTATTTGGATTCAAGCTGCTGCACGCGTAAGTTGATCATTTATAAGCTGCGTCGTGGGTGATCTGCCTATAATTAATATCGGTGAATTTTCACATTTCTGGCAATCCTGCCAAGAGACAAACCTGGAATCTTGGAGACCCCCGATGGGTATTAAAGGCAAATCACCAAATTGCAAGGAAAATTGGAATTTTGAATGTGACCGGGACGGCCGTTCTGAGTAACGAGTGATGACGGATTTGCAGAAAAAATCGTCTCCTCGTGGTGGTACGGCCACAGGATAAGAACGCGACCGGGACGGCCGTTCTGAATGCGAGTGAGGACGGATTTGCAAAAATCGTCTTCTCGCCGTGGCAAAGCCACTGGAGAGAACGTGACCGGGACGGCCGTTCTGAGAAAACGAGTGAGGACGGATTTGCAATATAAAAATCGTCTCCTCGTGGTGGCACGGCCACAGGATAAGAACGCGACGGGGACGACCATTCTGCGAAAACGAGTGCAGACGGATTTGCAAAAAAATCGTCTCCTCTCATTGGTAAGGCCACAGAAATAGAACGCGACCATCCGTACGTGGCCCACAATGGCACCACGTTGAGTGGCCGTAAGATGAAATACGTAGCACATTGCTCGAGTCCTGCCGGACAGACGGGTGAGGACTACCTTACCCCAACCCAGTGGGCTCAGTGCCAGATCAGACGACTGAATGAGCTGCTCTCGTAGGCTCGCATAGACCTAGAGCAGGGTGATACTGAAATTCTAAGACTTACCGAAGAGGTTTTTAAGCTGCGGCTCTTCAAGGCATCGCTCAGTTCCCCGGAGGAACGTTCAAACCCCAGTGACGCCGTAACGGTGCGGGGGAACACCACCAACGATCCAAACACGCCCAGCTCTCAGGGCATTTCACCGATTGTGGATCAAACGGACGAGTGTAGCAAAGCCAGTCCCCGGCATCATCTGCACAATCATGGCATCCACCAGGTGCAGTTCATGGACAAGATGTCTACCTCCGAGATGCAGAGCTCGTTTACCGATTCGAGACATTTCGAGGACATTACGACTTCGTCGATCCATTACAAGGATTCGTACGTACATACGCAGGATCGTGTTTGCAAAAGCTACAATGACATTGATGCCGAGAAGCAGCGGCTTGTCGAGATGTACGAAGCTCGCATTGAGGAGCTAGTTAATCAGCACCAGGCAGACGAACAGCAGAATCGCATGTCCAATAATGATCGCGTTGAGGCTTTGCTGCAGAAATTTTCCGATTCGAATAAATGTGATCTGGTTCCAGAATACTGTTAAAATCACCAGTCGAGTAACGTTGTCAAAGTGAGTTTTAATTCTAGACGCAGCCGATGCCGCCGATGTCGCTGGAAAAAGAAACAGCTATTTGTTTTTGTTTATGTGAAAAAATAGGAATTTCTGGTTTTATTGTAAAAATTTACGCTGGTGGTTCAGCAAATTTTTGCGGAATAGAACTACAAAATATTGTTTTCCCTGATAACGGTAAAAAAATTATATGGAAATAAAATCAATTCTCCATGCATAACATTATGCCAATAGAAAGGTGGGTGGCGCCATCATGTTAGTAAAATTAAAACTAACAGCATTCAGTAATTCATTGTCCTTCATTATTGTTCATAAAAAAACCTTGAATAACTTTTATACCGAAGGAGAGGGATGGATAATAACTAGGTAGGTCATGATATTTCATGCACATTTCCTGACAGTTGGTGAAAGGTCATTTGGATTCAAGCTGCTGCATGGGTAAGTTGATCATTTATAAGCTGCGTCGTGGGTGATTTGCCTATAATTAATATCGGTGGATTTTCACACTAACGTTGTACTTTTGCGGGCTTCCGCCCGGTCGATGCAAAGGTGGTGAGCCGATCCTGGTGACGAGTGGCCAACTCGGTTAGTGGATGATGACTTGGTGGATGCTAGCCCTTCCGATGCCGGAATGCTTTGAATCCAAAACGTGGCAAGGGTTGACGACCAGAGATGAAAACGGGCGGTGCGTGGCTGATCGAAACAACATTATTGTTGTACGTTCACTTCACTGTTGGACACTTCGATGTATCTGGAAAGCGTTCACGGAACTCGCACAACAATTGCCGCACATCAAAACTAACTATTTTGCTAGAGTCAAATTACAACGCGGAATAAATTTATACAAACGTGTCCTTCTTCTACCACAGTTAGGATCAAAGTCAAAGAGGCGATTGCTGATTCTCCTAAGAAAAGGCCCAAGGCATTATTCCCGGAAATGGAAGTCCAATGGAATTTATTAGTCATGGTCGTGAGATATCAAATGAAAGTATCTCCTTCCCTCTTCAGTCAATCGCAGTCTGCTCATCTTGTTCTTTCTACTACTAAATCCAGAGTTTGCTCATTCGGTTTTCTCTATACGAGAAACGAAAACACGAATAGTAAAACCCTTCGGAGATAGCTACGTAAGTAAGCAATACATACCCCGTAACGTGGGTAGATCACCTTATCGTGGTACGTTACCACCGATTCCTAGTCCTGACTACTTCAAACTAGAGAAACTCAGTAATACAAGGAACACATATTAGTCCTTGTTACTTTTTATGCCTTGTTGATAGTGACAAAACTCGGCTATGCCCACCGAGAATGATCTTGAAACAAGAAAAAAAAATAAGCTAGTTAGTCTTCATCTATGTGATTCCTAATCTTCCATTCGTTGTTTCCTAGTTTGCAGTGGTTAAGTGGTTTCTGATGCATGGTCATTATCAATGTCATTCCTTAATTTTGTTGCTAAGGATTCCAATTTTGACTGACAAAGGGGCGCGCCTTTGGAGGGTGTTTCAACACTCCGAAGAGTATAAAGAGCGGGACCTTTCAATTAGAATCTATTCCTTGCGATGAAGGTAAGAATGCCAACTCTAAAAAAATCAAATACTTCATGATTTATCAATAGTGATGTAGTAATACGACATGCACTAAACTAAGGACACGGGATATACTACAATAGATCAAATTACTGGTCGCAGTAGTGTTAGGTCCCGAACAGCCAACTGGTTTTCATACAATATGTAAACTACAGCTCGTTTCATTTGAATCGGCTTGCGGTCCGTTGCAAAACGATTATTTTACTTATTTTAAAGAATTGACTGACGATTAAGTTTAGAATAAATATTTGCAAGTAAATGAGAAAACTAAAAAAATATTATAGTACGAAATTGGCTTCTGTTATTAGAGTGTAATATAAGAATATTCTAGATCCTACCATTCAACACGTTTGATAGGGTTTTCGCTCTTTAGATTTTAGTTTTTAGAACAGTCAACCCAAAGCTCCATATCTTCATCAAGAACGTTTGCCCCTCACGATTGCCACTGAAATCGGCACCCTTGCTAAATGCCAATGCATGAACCGAACCAGAAGGGAGCAACCAGAAGAGGTGGTCGAGAGCTGTATGGTGACACCCATTCCGTGAAAGCACCAACGACAACACGAGAGCCGAGATTGACGTGACACTTTCATTAAAACTTTTCAATTTCGAAACGGTTGCTGTCGAAATTTTTCGGGTTCCGGGTAGAAGCGAACGCTTACTACACTGGTCCGATATGGGATTCTTTGGAGATCGAATATCGGACTGCGGGACGATGCCGCCTGCTTGCAAAAACATTGAATATTGGGCACATTGAAGGTTGTCCATTTGAAGCGTTTAAATGAGTGTAGCGCTTTCGAAATTGAAGGAAAGCTGATCGGCCGTTCCAGCTTCCAGCAGTGCCGAGAGCCATGAACGTATATCTTCGTTTGATGGTCTCCAATTTCCTTGACAAATAGTCAGCACTTCATTTTCATCGGTCATCATGCCTCTCCCATTTCCTCACCGTCGTCCTGTGGAACACATAACGCAGAAAAATGGGTGAATAATCCTCTCCGTAGTCGTTTCGGCTTTCATTCGAGCAGTATTACCCAATAAATTGCAAAACATGAAACACATAAAGGTAACCAGCTACCGTACCGTACCTATGGCACACCCGCATGATCGAACACCGAGCTAGTGAATAGGAGGTGTGAAAGACCACAACTGAGGTAAGATTGTCAAACGACCATAAATTCCGTACAATTTGTAAGAAGGCATTAACTTCCCTCCCCCGCATCATTCTCCCCCTTTTCCTATTCCCGAAACCATCACGATAATGCCATTGTTTGCCCAATCGGTACAAGGTAAATGAATGGCATCCCACCGGGTATGAAAAGGGGTATCAAAAGTACATTAATAGTACAAGGGATTGAACTCTCACCTCACATTTTCTATTTTATGCCACAGTTACGCATTCCCTTTTATAATGTTTTCCTTTTTTTGCGTGTATGCCGGCGGTTTACCGTCTATGGGAGTTGGATCCTTAATTTCATTCCTTTTTATGTGACTTCCTTAGTGACTTTTGTACAAGTCTATCCAGCAGTAGCGAGTGGGAAGTGCTGCTTCTAACATCGGCATCGTATTGTGCGGGTGCGAAAGCGGAGAGAACAGGAACAGGAACTTTCCTGTGAACCCTTTTTACTGCACGGGTCTCGACACTTGTAATAAATTGTCCGGACATGGGAGATATTATGGCCGGGGGTGGATTACCAACGGGGAGGAATGATCGATAATAAAAATTTTGGAAGGTTTTGTTGAAAACGGGATGTTTGGTAACACCGAAAAGCTTGCCTAGAAGTCTAGAATATATTATTTATAAACAGCTTTTCACCAATAGTGCGTTTGGTTGATGTCACTTTAATTGATGTACCGTAAAACGGGGTGACATTGATAGTTTTTTAAAGTATATTCTAAATATTTTTTACGGCAATGAATGTTTTTCAAATTTTAATTTTTAAAACAAGTACTGAGGATCCTAGAGTTAATTTATTAGTATGTATGTATGTATATATATCGGAAATAATTTAGCTCTATTTTTTTAGAATACTAAGTTAAGAGCACGCAATAAGCTTATATGCACCAATTAATAAGCTTGAAATGCAAATGAGAAGAAGAAGAAGGTATTTTCAGTACACTGATCGATAAAAGAAGCTTTTATCTGGCATCTAAAAATAAAACACTTAGCTTCACAAAAACTGATTTTATTGCGGACAAGGACAAGTTTATTCCCCGGCCGGTATGATGTTAACTGATTTTATTATTCAACCTACATTCAGCTGGCTGATGAGAGACCCTCAATAGCACATATCTCTAATCTCTTATCAACTGATCGAAACAGATTTACAAATGCAATGCGATGAACAAAGACAACTATAGTTATACATAATTATAATAAGAGAGAGAGGGATTAGTATTTTCCATTTAATTCCACTACTTTATTTGCTTATCCTTGACAGATACGCGTATTTCGTCTACAATGTGCAGACTTCTTCAGTGTCTTGTACTAATACTCGACTGAAGAAAAACATCGCATTTACCGAATATATATTAACACAGGTACATTTTCACTTAGAAACTAGGTAAACTTAAATTTAATTTTCTATAGGAACAGGTACTCCGCTGCTTACTCGTTGATGTGTCCTAGGTAGTAACTTGAAAAGCCATGTGTGTCCGTTTGCTTGATCCCTGTTGAGTAAAGTTGAATTACGTTGTTTGTTGATCTCGAGGCTTTCTGCAACATCCAATTTCCATGGTGTAGATACGGTTCGTAAAATCGTGATGTCCTCCGTCGATAGTTGGTGGTCCTCTGTGAAGATGTGTTCTGCAACCTTTGATTTGAAATCATATGTTAGGCCTTTTTCCTCTTGCTTTTTAGCCTTATTAACCTCCGCTATATGTTCTTTAAATCTAGTTGCTAAAGTTCTCTTGGGTTGTCCTACATATACTTTGTTACAATGATTGCAGCTTATTTTATATACACCTGCTTTACCTAAAACATTAACTGGGTCTTTAGTGGATCCTAACAATGATTTCAACTGGTTATGTCTACTGGTGAAAACTAAATCTAATCCGAATTGTTTTAACTGTGGTCTTAGCTTACAAGTAATATTTTGATCAAATGGAACGGACACTCGTTTCAATGGTTCAGGTGCTGCGGTGAGGGTTGTAAATAATCTCCTTTGTATAATTCTCGCCTTTTATCGATGATTGCCTGGATTGTGGTCTCCTTGTATCCGTTGAGTCTTGCTGTTTCGAAGATGTACTGTAATTCCTTAACCTTTCCTGTATCGCTGAGTGGAAGAGTCTGCATTTGATGAATCATGTGGTGAAAGGCGGCCATTTTCTGCTGGAACGAATGGTTGGAAGTATAGGGGATAACTCTTTTGGTGCTTGTTGGTTTCCTGTAAA